AGCAGAAATAAACACTATAGAGCCCTGTTAACTAATTATACGTTTGCGGCTCATGCAATGCATTTATGTCCCCTGTAGAGATCATTGGTTCTCAGTGAATTTCACATCCCACTATTTATTCCTACCGTGTCTTTAAAAGTATACGAAACACTTTAAGGTTCGGTTTTTGAGATGATAATCTAATGTTAATTTATGAATATGCCATTTTTTTTTAAACGCATGTGTGTTCATAATACATTGTTGTGATGTTTGTTAATTAGCCTACTATTTATGTTAATTTAGTTATCATCCGTGGTTGTATAACTCACTCAGGTGTAATGATGTAACAGAAAGAGGAAGAAATCAGTAAAGAAATGTTTTTGGTAAGCAGACGCTGAAGTGTTCATTGCCGGACAAAGTTACTGAATCACATACTTATGTATTCTCTTTTAAATCATTAGTCAAGTTATTCAGTCATGCTACTGCTAAAAATTATGCAAGTTACACAACAGGCAACTGGTGATTATTGTGAATTATAGCACTCTGTGCTTTGATATCAGTGCAGTTACTTCACAGGATGAAACCTCAGGAAAATAGTGTTGTTATGATATTATGTAACAGTTCCACACCAGCATCCCAGCGACAAAACATACCTAACCAGCATATGCTGGTTTTTTCAACAGGGGCAGGAGAAGAAAGTTTAACAATATTCAGAAATAACAAAAATGAAACACAAACGTGTCATTTTTGCTTATTAGTACGGTTGAATTGGATCATCGAAGGTCAGTAGCAAAGACACTGGTTAATAAAATGGGATTAAATACATAAATGATTAGTCTTATTGAACATATTTAATTATTGCAGGTTTGTATAGTATTCTGAGTTTGGATTTGACTGTTTTTATTCATTTTGAGGAATACTGAATCTGTTTGTGCAGGTGAGATGAGTAAACACATGTTGATATTGAGTCTAGAACTACAGTAAGATCATGTTCTCACACAACGCTCTGCACTTACTCCTGATTTCTGTCACCATGGCAACACCAGAGCTTTCAGTCAACACATGGAAACAAAGTAACGAGTTAATTTTTTTTGAAAAAGTAACTCCGATATTTCCCTCTAAATTAAAAAGTAATGTGTTACTTTATTACTAGTTACTTTTAAAAAGTAATCTGATTACGTAACTCAAGTAATGCGTTACCCCGAACACTGGACGAATGTGTGACGGCTTGTGTGAAGGGGTTCGAGATACACACAACACAACCATATAAAAGACTACATAGACATTCAATCGGCCATAACTTCTAAAGAGATATAGCACTGGACAAAGATGAAACTTTCTAGTGCGCATGTCTTGAATGCCGGCTATCAAATGCAGTATGCTTTGAAATGCTACGCGTTCTGCTTGTATAAGCTACTTTGTGCTTAAGTAATGTGGTGAATTTAGGTGTTATAGTGATTCTATAGACATAGTGATGATGAAAAGACCAAGGGCTTTTTGAGCCATTTGGGACAGAGCCCTACTGTTTTATCTGAAACTACTGCTGTGTTCCAAATGACACACTTATACACTATGTACTTATGTACTCAACCATGTAGTGTATAAATTACATAAGATTATTTTGTCATTAATAATCTGAGTTTAGCCCCGCCCCCTTCACGATGTAATTAAAGATGCCACAGTTGAGTGCATGAAGTGTTCACACTTCATGTGCGTCCCAAATCGTGTACTTATGCACTATTCTATGAAGTTTTGTAGTATAAATAGTGCAAGTAGTGTGTTCACACTGAAAATTCCAAAAAGAAAAAGTGCACTTTAAATACCCGGATGATGCACTTAAATAACCGAAAAAATGAAGCGTGGAATGTTGAACACTTCATGCACTCAACTGTCGCAGCTTTAATTACGTCGCGAAGGGGGAGGGGCTAAACTCAGATTATTAATGACAAAATAACCTTATGTAATTTATACATTATGTCTTGATAGGTGACAGGTGCAGGTGCTCAGAACTCAGGTGAGAGGGATCGTTGTGATTGGGTGGTGGTGG